TGTGTGTGTGTGTCTCTCTGTGTGTGTGTCTCTGTGTGTGTGTGTGTGTGTCTCTCTCTCTGTGTGTGTGTGTGTGTGTGTGTCTTCAGTACAGTAAGATTGATATTTGCATGCATTATTACACTTACAAGGACAAAGTCTTTGCCTACTTTTCACTTTGGTTCAGATTCCTGTTGGAAGAAGAGACTGCGGTGAGGTCGAGGTTAGGGACTCTTCAGACTCTTTAACAAGTCCAAAGGGTTTCTGCTTTCTCAATACAGCATCCAGTTGGTGGCTCCTTTCAGACACCCAGTGTAAGTAAATGGACTTATTATTCCTCTTTTAATCTTGTTTCAGTGGAAAAATGGAAGAGAAGCAGGAAACTGGACTTCCTGGGCATCCCGGCGTACTGGGGATCCGGGCTGGCTGAATATAACGACCTCAGGTATTAACAACATGTTATCAGGTCTACTCCCTTTTTTTCCAAACAGCAGCGTTTTCTCTGCGTTTCACAGAACTCCTGTAGGTTTGTTTCTGATACGTTGCACTTTAAAAGTCAACGAACAGCCTGTAAACTTTGCAAACCGGGTCTCAAAATGATCCCGAACCACAGAACTAAGAAGCGCTCCGACGCTCCGTGCTGACTGTCAGGGAAGTCAGCTCAACCTTTGAACCCCGCGGCGGTCTAACCTTCTCTGCTGCCTTCCACTGGGGCTGACTCTCTTCAGGGTGCACTGAGGGTTTATAAGTGCAATATGAGCACGACTTTCTCTGGCTGATGTCACAGATGATGAAGAAAGGCATTAAAACACGAGACTCGTGTCGCCGCGTTTTCACCACAGGACCTGCCGAGAGAGGAGTTTAAAGCGCTGAACTGGGGAACGAATATTAAAACCTTTGAGTTGTGTTGAAAATGTCAGCAGATGATCAAAGCAGATTTATTCTTTAGACGTGTGCGTATCCCATCTGGTATGAGGGAAGACATTTTACTGCCGGTTTAAATGCAGTCCGTGTTGATCAGGACTCTTTCCCTCACTCAGGTATCGCTTCATGGTCATGGACCGGCTGGGCAGCGACCTGCAGAAAGTCTGCGATGACAGCGGAGGTCGACTGAAGAAGGCCACCGTGCTCCAGCTCGGACAAAGGATGGTGAGACTGTGTCTTTAATGGTCATGGGTCAGATGTGTGCGAGCTCCAGCAGCTCAGATAGAAAACACAGACACGGTAACTCTGCGTGCTGCGTGTTGTGGTTCCAGGTGGACGTGCTGGAGTACATTCACGAGAACGAGTACGTCCATGCAGACATTAAAGCTGCCAACCTCATGCTCGGTCACAGAGACCATCAGCAGGTTAGTCCACTGCACACCTCCACTAATTAATCCCGCACATTCAACAATGTGAGAATTTACACTTTATGTATAGAACACAATTAAGCCCTACGCTTCTGTTACATTAATAATGCAAATGATCATTTATTACATATCAATTTTAATGAGGATTATGTCTCTAAGAAGATAAATTCACTTTGTGTCTTGAATGACTTTGTAATTATAATGTGTGTGTGTGTGTGTGTGTGTGTGCTGTAGGTCTACCTAGCAGACTACGGGCTGTCCTACAGATACTGTCCCGATGGAGTCCACAAAGAGTACAAAGAAAACCCCAAGAAGGGCCACAATGGAACCATCGAGTACACCAGCCTCGACGCCCACAAAGGACTCGGTAAAAACACTCGTGGAGTCTGTTAGCTGCTGTAGGACACGTTCTCTCATAAAGAGGTCAGAAGGTATCAGTCAGTCAATGACACCGTGGCGTTTGCACAGGCCTTTCTCTGACTTCACACAGAACAACTCGAGGTGGGTCAGCAGATCAACTATCAGGTGCTGCACTTTTATTCTGAAAAATCTCAACAAAAAACATTTATCCAGCCTAAAATAAAATGTAAATAAAAGCTTCGTCCTGCGAGTTAATAGAACAATGAGAATAAATACAGAATACAGACAGAACTGAAGAAAAAGTTCAAAATATCAGTAAAACTCATCTCTGATCAATATTCACAGGAAATAATCTGATTAAAATTCCTCCAAAGAGTTCAGTTTGTGTTCATTGTGCAGTTTATCAGCTGTTCTCTACTGTTAATGTTAACATTGAATATAATAAGAAATATCCATAAAACATGTCACTTAGTTTACTGTGATGAGGAGAAAAGGTCCTTTAAGGAAAAAGGTTTGGAACCACTTCGGCAAAACTTCCAAAACTTCTGAAAAACGTCGCCATAAGAAGAGCCGACAGCCGCTCGCTGCCCTCTCTGTAGTTAATTTGTTCTTTTCAACAGCAAATTTCTTTTTTCTTTCCTTTTGTCCTGATTGGTGCATTACTGGGACAAAAGAACAGCAATAAACCTACCCAGAACTAACATTGATTCACAACTGCCAGCATTCAGGTATTTCTACAGTATCTGTATTAACTCTACTATAAGCTCTGCCCTTTTTCTTTGCAGTCTTTGTTCGTCGATACATGTAAAATAGTCTCTCCGCGCCGCCTCCCTCGGATGATATTGGGAACACATTAACTGGCAAATTGCCTACATGCTCCCTCTCTTCATTGACCATCGATTCTCCATCCGCGGCCCCCGCTGAATTCCCCGGCACTGCCTCTGTTTAACAATTCCCTAATTAGCCCAAGTCATAACCTGCATCGTGTATTCATCCCCCATTAATTAAGGGCTTTGATGTTTGGTTAGAGCGAGGGCCCGAGCCACAGATAACCTCTGCGAGCTCCACGCCGACCGACTCCACCACCCTCCGGTTCGATACTGTGAGTTAGCGAGGCTCGGACTGCCTAATCGCTGCGGCGGTGTTTCTATCAGCGCAGTCGATAAGTAAAAGAGGGGCAGAAAATGTCCAGTCAGCAGTAACTGCGAAATGGAAAGTCACGTCAATTTTAATGTGGTTTTTGAAAGGGGGGAGGAAGGGCGAGCTATAAAAATAATGATGAAGGCACACACTGTAAAGTCCATTTCCACCGAGTGCTCTGATCGGGGCTCAGGAGAGCTGCGAGCAGGTGATCACTGTTTAAACACAGATCCATCCCTGTTTACACGAGTCGCTCAAAGACCTGTGGGACGGAAACATACAAACCGTCGTACTTAACGGCTTAAAAACAGGATTCTGACCCTCATCTGCCCTCCCCTGACCGATGGCACCAATCCCCGCAAAGATGTTGACAGGTTGCCATGGTGAGGGTTTGGTGAACGCAGCTGCCGGAGTGGCAGGCCTCTGAACCCGGAGCTAAACGGTGTAATTACCGGCATTCGGTGGGCGTCCAGCGGACTGAAGACCGTCTCCGAACAACAAGACTGAAGCAGAAGGGTTACGAGTGCGACACCGCGACACGCTTTAGGGAATCTGAATAACAATAGGAGATAATTAACAACAACACTGTCGCTGCCTCGCCTCCCTGTCTGAAGCCTGTACAGAACGTGTGTGTGTGTGTGTGTGTCTCTGCACTGTCCTGACTCACTCCTCATACGAGGGCATCAAACACAGAACGCTGTTATGAGCTTCAGTAACGGGCCCAGAGCTCGCACACAGGGCAGCAGCACTTAATGTAGTTGTTGATCTTTTTAATTGTTAATCAATTACAGCGCTCTGGGAGTTACAGCACTTCTTCCAGTGTCACTATCACATGTATTTTCCACCTTTATTGTCCTCTAACGGGCTCTCGTGGCAGTGAATTGCTGTGTAATTATTTACTACAACAGGAAGCCGCTGTAACACTGAGCGAACTCTTATCCACTCAGAGTTGTTGAGGTTGTGTAACAGTGCTAACGTGTAGTGGACACGCTGCTGTTCTCACTGCAGAAACAGAAAGATTGTCGATGTAACACCCTCTATCCCAGTGGTCCTCAACATGAGGTCCCACCCCCCGCTAGGGGTCGCTGAAGCTTCAGGCCTTCTTCATTTTAAGAGGTGTAAGAATCCTGCATTATAAAAGTACGCAGTTAAAACAATGTGTCAGGTATCAGGATAAAGAAGCTTATTAAGGATGTAAAAGTCTGATATAGACAGGAGACCTTCTTCTTCACAGTATCTGTTTACAGTCCAGGATTACAGTACACACAGGAGAAGTCTCCACCTCACTCGCTGTGGAAAGACTCCCGACAGGAACCAGCAGTGTCGCAGTAGAGAACCACAGCTGTAGTGGTTGAGACTCGCCAGTGTTTCAGTTTAACAGGCGACCCTGTTGACACAGACCCAGGAGTGCAGGTGATCAGTATCAGCAGGTAGAGATGAAACGGCCGTCACAGCTTAAATGATGATTCACATGAGCAATCATACATTCATATATGGGCTGAAAGACAGACGCATTAAGAGCGCAGTAAAGAAATTGATTATATATAAATGATGTATATTTAAAAATCAGTCTTCCACGTGGCTTCATAAGATATTCCTTTATTTGTCCCACTATGGGGTTTTTGTTTTCAGTTTTCTGAGGTTTCTAATGATGTAAGAACATTAGCCCTTCCTATCTTCAACCACCTCTCCCATCCTGATCATCCTCATTGATCGATCAGCCTCCCTGCTGGGTCCACACCGTTCTGAGTTTTGGATTCGGGCACAACATTTATGTCCTTGAAGTGATTTCCTTTCATCTCTTGCTCTCTGCTCGTCAGCTCAGCCTCTCCGTCTCGATATTCTGCACCTACGTTAAAAACATTTGGATTACTTACATTTCCCGAACGTACGATCAGATTACTGCCCGGTGCCCGCCCGTTCCATGTAATCTGCTCCTGTGTGGCAGCGGCCATGCTTCCTCTTTAGACCGGCCTGTTGGCTGCGGGGGATCAATGCCGGCCGTGGCTCAGGGAGGAGATTTCTCCCCTCTGATGGAGCCAGTCGATAGGTAATTTCTCCAGAGACGGGTGGTGGCCGTTACAGTATTGAGTTGCTAAAACTCCCCGGGCTCGACCTCTCTGGATGGACTTGGTCGACAAGTATTGATAGACCTCACACATTAATGTAGACCCATGCAATCACACACTCTCACAGTAAGAACACACTCTGGACTTCACTCCTTACATTCCACATATTAGATTCTGTTGTTCTACCTGTCCTCCTGATCGGATCGCTGAGGTCTCTGGTTATGATTTTCTGTACCTTTAGGAGACATTTAAAGTACAAAAGTCTGAATAATTAATCGGAGTCACAGTTTAGTTTATTGTGAAGGTTTTCACATACGAGGAATAGAAAATCTAAAGAAAGATAAAAAGCTCCAGCTGAAAATAAAGAGTTATTTAAATGAAAGAGCGGTGCAGTCGGTATCTCACACACTGAAATAGAAGAGAAAATAATAATAATAAACAGAATATTAACAGCAGACCATCTTTCTCTCTTTCAGCTCCATCCAGACGTGGTGACCTCCAGATTTTGGGTTTTTGTCTTCTTCACTGGTTATGCGGTTCTCTGCCGTGGAACAAAGTTCTCAAGAACCCAACTCAGGTCCAGGAGGCCAAGGCCAGGTCGGTAGTCGCTCGTACTGTTTTAAATGAACCACTCATTTCCAACACTGGGACGAGACACCTTTCTCTCAACAAGAAGCTGTGTGCTCTTACTCTGAAAATAATCTGTTCAACCTGTAACCGTTGTTGTTACAGGTTGAATCGAGCTCAATATCAGCTGTGAGATCGTATTAAGACACAGTTTGATATATTTTCTAACAACCAGATTACTTTTCTGATAGACAAAAAATATTTTTTTTTTTTTAAATTTTAGACAAAAAATAAGACTCACTTCCCAGAAACAAGACTTTCTTCCAGTGTAAGCTTCAGTTTTAGAGACTGTTGGCGACTGAACTCAACATATATTAGTAATAATGCTTCTGTCCTCACTGTTTCATCTTCTCCTCTGCCCCTCTATCAGACTGATGGAGAATCTGCCAGACTCGGTCCAGCGGCTGTCTGTGAGCGGAGCCAGCACAGGTGAGAGCAGGTCCACAGGACGGAGCGGTCGAATCCTCCGAGCTGTGGAGGAGAGGAATCTCTGTGTGTAATCTTCAGCTCCTTTAATGGAGATCCACAGTAACACACTAATACAGATACTGGGCTGACTTACACAGGGATTATGGGTGATACAGTAGTTCCTGTATCCACAGACAGAATATTTTGTTCATGTGAGGCAGCGAACTGTCTTCCTGGAGAGTTTCTGTGACGAGTCATGACGTCCCTTCCCCTCCGGTGACCTCCATGGGACCTTATATGAAAGATATGTAGGTCGTTAATGGAGAGAGACACTTATGATGTTTGTTCATTTAAATATAATCGTGAAAGTCGCAGTTTGTCTTTGTCGACACTTTTAGTGTTCTTACATTATCCCAAATGTTTCCAACAATGTTCAAACTCGTCATTTTATTCAGGTAACGCTGCGTTTCACCGGTCGTCTGTCAGTGGCGTCATATCCCCTCTGCGGTTGTCTGCCAGACGCTGTCATACACTGAACAGTGTGGGAGAAGCAGTGATTGTTAAGGTGGA